TGACCTCTGATTACTCCAAAATGTCTCTAGAGAGGGGTAATCAGCCATGCTGAGTTGAGTGGTAATATTCGTTTTGCGTTTCAAAGCAATCCGACATCCCTATAGCGAGGTTTTTAACATTTGATATTTTCTCACTATACGATCGAAAAATGCGATATTTTGAAAAACTTGCTATAGGGATGTCGGATTGCTTTGAAACGCAAAAAGTATATCACTACTCGACTCAGCATGGCTGATTACCCCTCTCTCTAGAGACATTTTACACTAATCCGACCTCAAGTAGCCCAAAATCGGGGATTTCTGGAAAACACTTATATCTTCTGAACGAAACAGCGTAGAAAGGTCAGCCTTGTGTGGATCGATAGAGAACAAGTTTTACTATCGAATGGTGGTATCACAAGATAAAATCACATTAGAAACTGATCTTCAAAATCTTGCCTTAATAATGTCCATCAAAAAATCCATCTGATTGATCAATATATTGACCAATGAAAATTGACATACTTGGATGTTCCTCTCTGTCCTCTGTTGAATGGTGAAAACCGCAGGTCTCTAACTTGCTCCTATCGAAAGTTATTCAAAAAACATCCGAGTGCACTGACTTCTTGTGCGGATTTTAATATTGTATTTTTAAATTTTCAGTGGAAAATTCTTCGCAAACAATTATTACAAATATAAAGTGAAAAGTTTTTCAAAAAAAAAAGTGTTTGGAAATAATTATTTTCTATCAATAATTTGCATCCAATCTGTTAAAAATTCAATTTTAAATCTAAATATTGCATCTTGTTCATAATATATCGGAAATGCTGTATTCCAAAGATTATTATGAAGATTTATAAATAAACCATTATTATTTATTCCTTGACAATCAGCTATTGAATTATCAAAATTTAATAAATATTCTGAAGAACCAATTGAAAGTAATGGCGCATCAAATGAATAAAGTGCAAATAATGGACTTGTACTTATTTGATCATAAAAACGTACACCACCATGCCCAATAGCATGTAATCGTCTTGAACCATAATTAACTATTTTTGACGGATCAACACCATAGCCAAGTACATCAATTTTCCATTGATTACATGTATATGAAGTAATAGGTAAGATTGGATTAAATTCAATCCAAATTGATTCTGGCAGACGAGTTGCTGTTTTATTAAACCATTCTAATTGAATTAAAATTGCTGGTGGAGAATCTAATGGAAATGTATAATTTAACCATAATGTTTTACTTCCACCATAATTTTCAATAATATCATTTGGAAATGTTAATTCAATAAGAAGTGTTTTATTCACATTATCTCTCCACATTGAAATAACATGTGGAAATAATGTTTGACTTTCAGAATCTGTTAAACCTGGTTTAGCAAAATCACCACATGGTGGTCCACAATTTGGATTAAATTGTAAATTAAAACGATCAAAATCATCATTTGAATATGTTTTATATTGAATACTACCTAAAGTATTATTTATATTTGACAAAGTTTTTTCGTTATCATCTTGAAGAAAAACAATTGCACCTGTTGTATAATTAAAACCAACAGAAAATAATATTGTTTCAAATAAAAAATAATCGTTTGTTCGATTTGATGGTAATGGAATTTGTATAAATTGATCTAAATTTG